CTCAACCCACACCCACAACCCCCACCCCACCCCCCACGCCACCCACGATCCAACCCGCCCCGCCCGCCCAGCCCACGCCACCCACCCACACCCCCGCCACCCACCCACCCACTCCACCCCCCCCCACCCCAACCCACCCCACCCCACCACACCCAACCCCACCCACGCCACCCACGCCCCCCCCACACCCCACCCCACCCACACCCACCCAAACCCCAACCCTCCCACCCCCACACCCCACCCCACCCCCCCCCAACCCCCCCCCCAACAACGCCCACCCCAGCCCCCCCCCCCCCCACCCCACCCCGCCCCACCCCACCCCACCCCACCCCCCACCCCCGCACCCACCCCGCCGCCCCGCCCCGCCCCGCCCCGCCCCACCCCACCCCACACACCATTCTTCCTGCGCCAGGCTCTACAAGTCCGCGAAGGTTGAGGGCGCCTTTCTGCCTCTTGGCTTGAAGTGCAAATCTTCCAGGGGCCTGCTTTTTCACGGTGCTAAAAGATCAAGGCGGGCTTGGGCGACGCTTGTGTCCTCTGGCTCAACAAGTGTCAAGAAGAGCATCCACGCAGGCGACGCATAGCAACATTTCAGCCTACGCAATGAAGGCGATCGTGCTACTTGTTTTTCAATCTCCAGCCCCAGCCGCCATGGCGAGTTCGTTGGAGGAGCGTGCCAACGAGCTGGACATCGTGACCGTCCATGTCTGCAGTTTGGCTGGCGCTGGGTTTTCTCTGAGACTTCCATCCTCGAAAGCTGGCTCAGAGCTGGCGCAGATGGTCCCGAATAGAATCCAACAAAGAGCAGGCAGCCAAATTTGCTTGCGACATAGGCTGGAAAAGCTTTCGCTGCGGAGAAGACTGAAGGATCAAGGCTTGTCTGGGGAGGTCGCAGTGTGCTACATCTACTCGCAGGTGAATGTGGTAGACGTGCGGGACTGTTTACGAGGCAGGCGTGTTGATACGGAGCGCCCTTTGGACGGAGTTTCCAGCATCGAGAATCTGAGCCAAGCGGTGGGTGGGTGTGTGTGGGTGTGGGTGTGGGTGGGTGTGTCTGGGTGTGGGTGTGGGTGGGTGTGGGTGTGGGTGGGGTGGGTGGGTGTGGGTGCGGGTGTGGGTGGGTGTGGGTGTGGGTGGGTGGGTGTGGGTGGGTGGGGTGGATGGGTGGGTGGGGGTGGTGGGTGGGTGTGGGTGTGGGTGTGTGCCACCCCACCCCACCGCCCCAACCCACCCCGCCCCACCCCAACCCACCCACCCACAGCTGCTGCGACACGGGGCAGCCTAGGTCCACACCAGCGACGCCCGAGCGCTCGATACTGCGCTGGCGCTCTGATCGGCCTGTGGCTAAATTTGCTATGTGGGCTTGGGGCTTGGGTGGCGCAAACCCACCCATGCCTCAACTGATGCCTCAGGCACTGGCAGGGCCTGTGTCGCTGGGTGGAGAAATCCATCCGAGCGACGTGCGTGCGTGCGTGCGTGCGTGCGTGCGTGCGTGCGTGCGTGCGTGCGTGCGTGCGTGCATGCGTGCATGCGTGCATGCGTGCGCGGGCGCGGGCGCGGGCGCAGGCGCAGGCGCAGGCGCGGGCGCGTGTGTGGGTGGGTGTGGGTGTGGGTGTGGGTGTGGGTGTGGGTGTGGGTGTGGGTGTGTGTGTGTGTGGGTGCGTGTGTGCGTGCGTGCGTGCGTGCGTGCGTGCGTGCGTGTGTGCGTGCGTGCGCGTGCGCGTGTGCGCGTGTGCGCGTGTGCGCGTGTGCGCGTGTGCGCGTGCGCGTGTGTGCATGCGTGTGTGCGTGTGTGCGTGTGTGCGTGTGTGCGTGTGTGCGTGTGTGCGTGTGTGCGTGTGTGCGCGTGTGCGTGTGTGCGTGTGTGCGTGTGCGTGTGCGTGTGCGTGTGTGTGTGTGTGTGTGTGTGGGTGCGCGTGCGCGTGCGCGTGCGCGTGCGCGTGCGGGCGCGGGTGCGCGTGCGCGTGCGCGTGCGCGTGCGCGTGCGTGTGCGTGTGCGTGTGCGTGTGCGCGTCTGCGCGTGTGCGCGTGCGCGTGCGTGTGTGCGCGCGCGTGTGCGCGTGTGCGTGTGTGCGTGTGTGCGTGTGTGCGTGTGTGCGTGTGTGCGTGTGCGTGTGCGTGGGTGGGTGGGTGGTTGTGTGTGTGTGTGTGTGTGCGTGTGTTTGTGCGTTTGTGTGTTTGTGTGTGTGTGTGTCTGTGTGTGTGTGTGTGTGTGCGTAATTGTGTGTCTGTTTTTGGTTGTGGTTTTCTTTGCGTGCCTGTGTGTTTGTGTGTGCGCATGTTTGTGTATTTTGTTGTGTGTGTGTGTGTGTGTGTGTGTCTGTGTGTGTGTTGTGTGTGTGCTTGATTGTGTGTGTGTGACAGTGTGTGTGATTCTGTGTTTGTGTGTTTTTGGGTGGTTGGTTGTGTTTGTGATTGCAAAGACACAAATCCTTGAATGCTTCTGGGCTCAAGGGTTGCCTTTAGTCAACTTTTGTCATTGCTGGTTGGGGGTTGTACCACTGAGCTTCAAAGGGTGGTCTACCCCCATTTTCCTTTCGGGGTCGTTTGCGGGTGCTTTTTGATATCTTACGAGGGGCCAGTCGAGAGCCAGAATCCTATCAGAATCCTTGGCTTTGACCATAGAGGATGTTCAATGGCCTGGGCGGAAGGATTTCCCTCCTTTGCCTTTTCTCTTGGGATTGAGGATTAGGATTAGGATTGGCTAACTGGCTAACCTTAACTTTGTCCAGCCAGTTAGTAAGAGGTCCTTCTCCCAACAGGATGAAGGCAGTGCCTATGAATTACTGTGGCTGTGGCACAGCTCCTCAGGATAAGCGTGAGCTAAATCAGCAGGACGTCACTGTTCCGGCCGCGAAATGATTTGAAGAGCTCTTGGACCCCTCAGAAATCGGCGCATGTCCCCAGTGTGAACGGACAACCCCCATGTGAGCCACGTGCTCAAAACCCGGGTAGATGAAGGTTAGTAAGGGGCAGTCCCAGCCAGAAATGGTTTGCGGGCCGCCTTCTTAATTCTTGAAGCATGGTTCTGGGTAGACCATGTTAATGCCGGGTTTGAGCAAGTGACTCCTGTTTTGACGGGTCAAAAGGGGCGTTCGAGGAACGTCAACGCCTCCTGGCAGAAGAGGCCTTGAGATTGGCCCGGCAGCTCGGCTTTCGGCTCCCTGAGCGCTGCTCCCCAGTCGGGGCTTTCCTTTCACTGGGTGTTGTCAAAACCGTTTTGGTTGATCCCATTTTGGTTGGGATTGGTGAATTCACCACCCAGTTTAGAACCTATTTTAGTTGGGATTTCTAAGATGAGACGCCCCATAAATAAATGAGCCAGGGGTGTAATAACCCTTTGCCAGCACTAATCCGAAAAGAATGGCCTCCTTTGACCCGCGTAAACCATGGTCTGGGAAACATTTGACAACACCTGGCAATGCCTCGACAATGCAACATATATCCAAATCCAAATCTGTGTTCGAGCTGCGGGGAGACACAGGCACATCTTCCAATTTCCAAGTTGAACCATGGCTTGGGTCAACATAGTGCTGGTCTTTGAGCTGTTGAGCTGGTCTTCAACTTTATTATTCTCCAACAGCAATGCATTGACAGTGTTCTCCGTCCTTGTTGTGCTTCATTGGAGGATTGCCCTAGCAACACTAGCGCCTGCCCACCACAGCGGTCTTGTCCACGGGCACAACAGTGACCGAATGCCTTGTGTGGCAGATTGAGAAAAAGCTGGAAGTACCTGGGCTGCCGCTCTATACATGCAAGGCCCATATATGTTCACGTTTCTTTGACTTGCACGCATGTTTGTTTTAACAAGGCATCCTCTTAAGAAGGCCTGCAGGAACACGAAGAGCACACCCACACATATTCGACCCTGGCATGTGGAGGGATTCCAAGAAAGCTACGCTTCCAAACCGTTGGACGGAGATGACCCCAATGGGGCGAGTTTCTCTGGGCAACCGGCGCATGAAATGTACCCGGCTGGGTAACCTATGGGTTATTGGGGATCCCTATCACCGCGCAGGTCTTGGTGGGGTCGAAGCCAAATGAACCAGCTGAGCCAACCCGACTGGTGCGGGGTTTTCTCCATCAGTACCCTAGTGAAAGAATTGGATGATGACAGTCCTGAGGTAAACAATGGTGGTATATGGATATGGGTCAAAATTAAACCGCCAGGGGACCGCAGGTTATAGTCCATGTTACCACTTACAGGGTTCCATTTTGGGTACCTATGTTTGTTCCCACAGCCATATGAACCCCCATTGCTTGAATCGTGGTTTGAGCCGTTTCAACCGTTGTATGCCTGGATGCACACATTTCGGACGCCTCGCCTTGCTTTAGGCCGGAGAAGAGGCCGAGACACCCATGGGGCCATCTCGCTGCGACCTTGGATGTCTCAATGAACCCGAAAACTTTCGGACTCTCTCTGAACTTTGGTGCATTTTGCCAAGGGATGTTAGGACTTTAACTTTTTGCCAACTCATGGGTTTCCGTATCATTCCACAAGTTAAACTTTTAGCAGGGGAGCAGAAAGCAACCGAGTGAAAGCATCCGGACTCCAATGTTTTGGGTGGCTTCCACTTGCATTATCTTGAAAACCCTCCAAACAAAGCTGGAACCGCTCGGAGTTCTTCAGAGTCCCCTGCCAATGATATGACTTCCAGGCAACAACAGCCAGGCCCATGCGGGCTTAAGTTCGATGTGCTGGAGCCAAGAACCCTGCAGTCTCTGGACAAAACACCATTGGCATGCATTCACGTTGGACGGCTCTTTGGCCTGCATTCCCAGCTGTTGTGTTCCTTTCCTTCTTGTTCCATGTGCGTTATGGTTGGTTCCTGCTTTGCTTTCTGACATGTGGCTGTGGCTCAAAATTAAACAGGAGGGGTTACGCAGGTTTTGGTCCATGTTTCCACTTACCAGGGTTCCATTTTGGTACCGGTTTTCTGAGCCACAGACATGTTATTTCTTCCATGTTTGTTCTGTTCCTTTTGGTGCTTCCCGGCTTGCGCCCCCTGGCTCAAGTACCGCGATGGGCCGCCCCTTGAGACTTGCTCGGCTCTCAGCAGCTCCCACAGCCATGTGTGCAAGGGTCAAAACATATTCTGAAGCATTTTGTACTTTGGCCGCCACAATGTGACATATGTTTTGAAAACGTGTGTGTGTGTGTGTTGTGTGGGACCTTGAGTAGCGACACCCCAGTTTGGGCCTGGCCAGTTTCTGGGTGATGAGTTGCATGCATGTATGTACCCATTTACATGCACGGACACTTCTATAAAGTAATGCTTCGATTAGTCCAGAACGCAAGAAAGCAGCATTTTGGCACCGGCTTTTCCGGGTGGCTCGCAGCCCCAGCGCAGCCGCGTTTTCAGCGTGCTTGAAGGTGTGTTTCATTCTTCGCTGCTATGAACAAGCCCCCCAGATTTGCCTTTGTGGAAGCAGAGTTCCTGCTTGTAGAAAGTTGTGATTTTTGAGCTGGAGCTGCGGAAGCTCGCGTGCTAGACCTGCACTACAACGTTACGCTTTTCCAGCTGGAGCTTCTCAAGTGTACTTCGCGTGCTAGACTTGTGCTACAAAGCCGCGGTTTTTCGAGCTAGAGCTGCGGAAGAGTACTTCGCGTGCTACACTTGTTTACAAAGTTGCGGAAAACAAGACTGAGAGATGAGCCGCCCCGCACTGTGTAGTGACACGGAGTTGATGCGCGACACCCATGGCAGCCAGCCATGCAACATGTTTAGACCAGCGCACAAACCAAGTGGGTCGTTTCCACAGGAAGTTCGACAAGTAGTGGCGGTGATCAGTTTCATGAGTGAGCTGAACAAGGCTTAGGGCTCTAAACCGGCGCCAGGACGTCTCATGGCTCTCGCTCGGTGTCTTTCCTTTTCGCCGGGCCCCCGGCCGGGTTCCAGCGGGCGCAGGTGGGCGAACTCCAGCGATCAACTCCAGGTAGGCGCAGGTAGGCCCAGGTCCGCAAGATCTGTCCAAGTTGTTTCAAGATCCCCCGATGACGTTTGTCCAAAGCATTTGTTTCGGTGAAATGACCTCATATGCTTCGAACCAGTGGCCTGCTGGCAGAAAGTGGGAGCCAGCTGGGGGGTTTGACTTGCGTACGGCGCCAACGTATGCCATCAAACGTGAAATGGTCAATCCATTGGAGCTGCTCGAGTGAAGGGAGCCCATATTTCCTCCAACTAGGGTGGATTTCAAGAATAAAACAGATTGGCGCCTATTGAACCATTTGTACATGCTTAATTTGTTTTAGGGGACCCCTAAAACATCATAAGGGGCACCCTCAAAAAACACCACCTATTTCTTTTCGATATGCGGCTTATCGAACATGGACAATTGAGCTGACCAATCCCACAGGCCACGGCACATCCCTCGAAATTCACACCCATTGGGGTGTGTTTGTGTGTGTGTGTGTCAGTATTTTTGGAGGCTACTTTCTGTTTGTTTCGTTTTGGAGGGAAACCAACACGTCAACTAACTGTGCGTTTTGGGGGATCCACCGATCCATTTTGAGACAAGCCCTGGCCCTGACTGCGACTCGTTGCTCAGGTTGGTTTCTGCGGCGCTGAGTATCCATGTCACGCAGACCTCAGAGCTGAGCAGTCTTCTTACCCGGGGCCCAGTCGCAGTAGCCCGTGCCTTGGCTTAAGGTTGATCAATGGCTTAAGGTTGATCAATGGCTTAAGGTTGATCAATATCATATATGTTTAGAGTTTAGGTCGAGCATCACATTTACCAGCTGATTCAGAGGGTCCTCTAAATTTCAAGAGCTTCACTGGAGGTCGCTGGAGACATGTTTTCTGATGGGACCTTTTGTGTTGAAATCTAGGCCCTGAACTGGCCCAGCCACAAGCTTTTGGTGAAGGAGGTGACACTGGGCTGAGGTATGGTGTGGTTGGAAGCCGCTGGGGGCAGTTCTTGTCACTTGCAACTCGAAAACTTACGATTTGGTTCGTCCGAGTTCGGTGCAAAATCTCCGGGGCCGACGAGGGAGAGTGATCGGCTCTCGTTGAGGTCCACGATCTTCCTTGAGCAACTTGGCCGGGACATGGGGCATCCGCCGCGGCAACGCAAGTTTTCTTGGTCATTTCTTCGTCACTGCCCCTTAAAGGGGCTATTGCCGGTCTGAGGCCTGACCCTGACGTCAATGTGTGTGTGTGTGTGTGCGTGATTGGTCTGTAGACTGTAGACAACTAGAGTCTTTCTTGGGTTAAGGACCTGTGGTTTGAGTGGCGCAACCGTTTGACTGATCAGATCTTTCTGGCTAGATGGAATGAAGCATTGCACAGCTTCTTTTGGTTTTGGAATCCAAAACAAGAAGGCAATGTTGCTGCACCTCTCAACGGAATTACCACAGTACACAAGATGGGCGAGAACTTCGTGGGGCTTCGCAAAATCACGCACATCATGGTTAGCATCGATAGCTCCACTCCTAGTCGAGTGCAAACGCCGCCAGTGGCCACTGCGACTCCCGTAGGACAAATCAAACAGTTTCAGTCGTTGTGATGTGCTGCTCCTTTGGTCGAAGGCAAGGACAAACCCTTGCCTTGTTTGGCCAAATTGTAGCGTAGCCTCATTTGGAATCATGGATTACTAACCCCCCCTTAAGGGGGGGTCCCCAATTTGAACGACTTTTTTCCGGAACTGTGCATTTTTCCCCAACAGCTGAAAGCTTTGGGGTCTCAGCCCAGATAGGCTCCGTGGTGGTCCGGGGCGGCCGCCCTGAGGTAAGGTTCCACGAGGGTTCCACCAGGGTTCCACCAGGGTTCCACGAGGCTCTGCGAGGGCTGCGGGGTGGTGCGAGCACTAAAAAGAGCACCGCATGCTGTTGGGGATATCACCTGAGCTTATTGTTTGGTCGGGAATCCCACAATGGGCGGGATAAGGAATCCATGAATCTTCGATATGAAGAGGTGGGTACGCATCAACCACCAATGTCACACAGCTCAAGGTGCCAGTTTGAGGCCTTACTGGGGCCTCAGTAAGGCCTGAAACTCAATAAGGCCTCGGTAAGGTCTCATTAAGGCTCCTGTTGTAAAAACAGCATGGTTGCGGCTTGAGTTACATTGAACATAGTTGTTCATACAAGGCAAACTTGGTTTTGAGGTGCTTAGCTTGCAAGTGCCAAGTGAGCTCTGAGCTGCTAGGCCTTAAGCATTAGCAGGGCCTCAGGGTCCTGTGCCTTTTTACTTTGTGGCCTGGAGGCGAATTTGTTGACTCCACATGAATCAACCAACCAGTTTGTCAATAGGGTGTCCAACTGGGTTCAGTGGGGAATCAGACCACTTGAGGGGGCCAAAGCCACCCCCCTATTTTTTTTTTCTCCCCCAACAGCTGAAAGCTTTGGGGTTTCAGCCCAGATAGGCTCCGGGGTGGTCCGGGGCGGCCCTGAGGTAAGGTTCCACGAGGGTTGCAACAGGGTTCCGCCGCGGTTCCACCAGGGTTCCACCAGGGTTCCACGAGGGTTCCACGAGGTTCTGTGAGGGCTGCGGGGTGGTGCGAGCACTAAAAAGAGCACCGCATGCTGTGGGGATATCACCTGAGCTTATTCTTTTGACGGGTTGACTAATATGGGGTCAACATTACTCATTTCATCCACAGGCCCGCACCTATCAGGCGTGATGTTCTTGCGATCACGCTCGCCTCAGGTCTTTTAGAGCAGCGCGGCAGATATTTCGCCCATGCTCACGTGCGCTCGCTGCTTGGCAAGAGCTGGTAAGGATACCGGCCGGGAAGGAATAGGCGTCATAAGAGACCAAAAATCAACCCTTGGTGCGGGTGTTCTTGGAGGTGTCAGGCTTACACATAGTTTAGGTCTGGACTTGCACGCGGCAGTCGAATCCTTTCCACATGGCAAAGGAAGCGGTGACTGGGTGAAGCAATGGTGTGGTTGAAGCAACAAGTTTTCAGGGCTCTGGGGAATCCACGAGAGAGACTTGGCCTAAGCTTGGCTCTCGGAGGAAGCGCCAGAACAGCAGCTGCACCACCCCCAGTCTGCAAGGACCGGGCGACAGGTGGCAGCTGAAATCTCCAGCCCAACGAAATGGCTAAAACCCAAGTCGCGCCGTAGTCACCTCATAATTCATGCATAAATGCAACATCTAAGACATCTGTTTTTTTCCCCGCAGCTTTGCGCCATGTTGCGTTCATAAACCCGGACCCATATACATAATATGAAGGGCAAGCCTTGTGACATCCCGTGATTCTGACAGACACGATCGCGTGATCAATAGACCACTTGTCGTGGACAGCGCCTTTGATACCAGGCTTCGAGTCGTGACTGCCTTGATCTGTTTGGGCTTAGGTCATCATTTGGGTAGGATCTGAGCCAAAAACAACATCCTTCTTTTTCCTCCGACCCAACACTCACAGTGGAGCCGCAGCCGCAGGTTTCCCAGCCGCCCAGCGAGCCTGGTAGAAAAAATGGGCCTGGATGGTGCTGAACAACTGCACGAGTTCTGGCCAAGGGCAAAGAACTACAAGGGCAAGTTGTTTTTGAGGGACACCCTTTGTGGTTGGTTTCAAAGGGGTGTTTTTCCCGTCATTTTGCGGGTCCCAAAAAGGAAACCGACAGGCCACCATTTGTTGTGGGCCCCAAACAAGAAAAAACCGGCCCACACAATTCCCAAGCCGGAAATCAGGCAACCCCTAGCAAAGGGCCTTCATCCTGGAGCTTGTGTTATGCGAGCCAGCGTCCCCGGTTCGAATGCACCTGCTCAGGCCAGGTTGCAACATCACGGAGTGCCCTTTCCTTTTTTGTCCGATAATTTCACTTCCAGGACAAAGACAGAAACACCCCACACGAACAAATACAACAGACCAATACATTTGTGTACACAGCGCATATTTGTAACCGGTTCTTCCAAATGATGTGCAAGCTGGATGGCTTTCGCAGGCCCTCACGCATTGGAACTTGGCCTAACTTGGCCCTCCTCCACCGCTTTCACACAGAGGGTTTAGGGTCTCTCGCCGCGCTTTCGCATTTCTTTGGGCGACAGCCAGGACACCTCCGCAACGCCAGCACCATAGATGTGGAGAACCGCCTGCAAGCAGGCGGCGGTGGGAGCGGCCCCGGTTTCAGAGCCCCTTCGGAAGCTCAGATGTTCTTGAGCTTTGGTGTCCACTTGGGTGTTGTTTTTTTTGAGGGTACTAGTATTTGTTTTGTGGTTTAAAGGGAAGCCAGAAGGATATCCACCATCTTGCAGTATTCCCATTCAACAAAAACACATCCACTTGTTTTATTTGCCCAACTAGACTTCCGCTCTTGGCCAGCTAGCTTGTGCCACATGGATATAGTTGATCAGTGCCATCCATTTAGGCAACGCGCTGTGCAGGGGTGCATGAAGTGTTTGCTGTGCGCTTTAGTTGGCTGCATGCTCAGCAGATGTTTATTTGCGCACTGCTGTCCAGAGTGTTGTCCGAAGTGATGTGGGTTTCAATTCCAATAATTACGCAGTTTCGGCATTGAATTCCGATGGCACCTTCGCCCGTCTGTGGAAGTCTGGCAGCGGCAACTCTTATTGCCGAGTGTATTCCAGACCCGCTTTGGGGACCCCACAATTCGTGTAATAGTTTCTGGGATCTATCATGAGCGACATGGTTGCGACGCCAGAACTCAATGTTTGGATGTGTTGATGTTCATACATCATGGCCAGTGCCTTTGTGCGTGTGTAGAAGTGGTTTGCATGAACCAACGGCGAGTGGATAACCCACGAGGTACTGTGGTGCTCGATACAAACAGGCAAGCTGTTGAACAATCGCCGAAGAGCCCTCGCATAACACGCATGCATCTGATTGAGTGGACTGACTCGATAGAGTTGACTAGGTTGATGGATGGTTGTTGCTATGTATGCCATACTCAGCTTGGCAGCCTACATTTGCACCATGCTTCCGCACTTCCCTGGTTTGATGCCTAGCATTGCCTAGGTCGGCCAGAATAAGTATAGTTTGTTTTGTCACATGACCCTCGAAAAAGGGATTTCAGCTATCTTGATTAGAAGCCCCTTGCTTCCTCCAGTTATCTTTTACTTTGATCAGACCCTTGCCCTCGATCCACGTCTTCTGGTCAAAATTTAAAGAGCTCATGTAGCTCACGTAGGGGTAAACTGAGCTCGCCCATGATGAAGGCCTTGTACTTGGGGGGGTTCCTTTGTTTCAGTTGTGAATTATAGCCAGTTGCCCAGATGTCTGGCGTGTGCTTCAGGCAAGCCGGTCTCTTTCATCCGAATCGGCCCCCTGGTAGCAGAGGTATTGCGGCTGTGGATGACTTCGGGAACAGATGGCTGTGGGTCAAAACCCTGTGCCCATGCTGAACATCAAAATAGGTATCAAATGGAGGTGGATCCAGCCCACTATGGAGCGATAGGTCACGCCCCATGGCCAGATGTGACGCCCTGTGTAGGCAACTTGCTGCAAAGCATGGTAGACACAGGTTACACGGATACACCCACAAAAATGTCATGGTGAGACTCGTCCTTCTGCTTCTCGTAAAGCTGCCGCGTTGGGATCCAGCAGGATCCAGCACAAGTTCTGAGGCCTAAGAGTTTGGAGGCATTGAATCACTGGGCCTACATCGGCATACAAAGCCATGGAGGTGCGCACCGGAAAGCAGAACCGGAAAGCAGCAAAGGGCTGCAGACTTCCTCCCGTTCAGTGGTTTTCAGTACTTCCTCAATCTGAAGAATCTCGGTGCTGATGGAAACCCACGGTTTTCACTCTAATGGCAACCACGACCTTTTGTTCAACACAGAGACACCGTTCCCAGAAACTCCGTTCCAACGCGGCGGCTCAGAGAGGACCATTTTTTTCCACGCTTCAGTTCCGGCGGCTGGTGCTGAGAATTTGCCAGGGTGATCCCCTGCTGGTCCCAGTTTGGTGGGGGAAGTGCCCAGGGTGATCCCCTGTAAGTTGGGGAAAAAATTGGCAAGTTGATTTTTTGGCAAAAACTGCTAAGGAAATGAGGGTTTAGGGATTTTAAACAAAACCCAATGCCCAGGACATCGAGCGAACTCCTGGCCATGTTGTGCTGATCTTCCTGGTGCCCAAGTCAATCGAACATCAAGCTGTGGATTTCTCTTCTGGCCATGCTGACCTTCCTATAGGTGTGCATCTCTTGATGGGTTGGTTCAATATGGCTGCGGGTCAAAATTAAACCACCACGGAACCGCTGGTTTTAGTCCATGTTTCCATTTACCAGGGTTCCATTTTGGATACCTATTTTTGACCCACAGCCATATGATGGCGCACGGTATTTTGAAACATAGCCAGCTGAGGGTTGAAGCCCCTTTGCGCTTGACCTCCCTCACTTGATGTCCTTTTGCAACCATCCGGAAGACGTCCAGAACTTCGACTCAGGTGAAAGGATTTAGATCAGGGACATGATAGTTCAAACATGGACAAATTAGCCAACCCATCAAGAGTTCCCAGCAAACAAGATATGTTGAGCCTTTGCAGCGACGAGTCATGTGCAGACTCTCACCGGATTTCTTGGCCAACAGATACGCCTCTACACGCAGCATCCCCTCCGGAGCCTTGACCTCGCCTAGGGGATGGCGATGTCTTCTGCATGTCCGGCTCTGGTGGTCAGAACTTGGAAGGCCCCTTCGTCGCGGCTCGCGGATGGGACCGCAGACGTCGGTCGCGGTGTTTTTTCTTTTCCAGCGGGACTTTTCAATCGGAGCACCCCTGTTCGGTGTTCCTTGGTGGTTTGATGCAAAACGCGGCATGTGAGAATGGTACAAGGCACTTCGCTTTCCACTGCAGCCTCGTTTGTGGTCCCTGGGTGTTGGCGGCTCCCTATGTCATGAGCGTCGCAATAAGCCGCGGGCGTCCAGACAGCACGCAGTTTGGCGGTTGCAACCGTGGATGACCACGTGGGATGCCAAGGCAGCCACAGACTGTCATGAGGATTCTTACTGTGGGAGCATGTGTTCTACCCCGTGCCAGAGGTTTTTACCTGTTGCTGCGGTGTCATCTTGGAGTCAGAGGCTTTGTCAGACTTTCAATGGGAGTTCCACAAACAGTCACAAGTAGTAAGGCTTTTGTCCCTAAGCCGTGTCAGGTCATGCGAGGCGAGTTGGGCAATTGATCGTTCGTACGCTAGAGTGACATTTAGGCGAACCATTTTTTGTCAATTGATCGTCGCTTTTGTGGTTTGTTGGCTTGCAGCCTTGTGTGAGACCATGAGCTCAAGGTAGGCGCAGGCCCCCTCCATCGCATCTAGAATCCCGAAGCATGTTGCATTCACAAATTGGGGGGGGGGGAGTTTTGACTCGATCATGGGGGCTAAATCATTGGAGGGCTATTTATTTTGGGAATTTTCATGTTTTTCTTTAGGTTATGTTCCTGAATTTTGCCTTATCTGGCTTCTTAGCTTCTTGGCTTTTGGCCTTTGTCTTCTTGGAGTCTGGACCTTTTTGGTTTTTGGCTCGTGGCATTTTGGTTTCTTGGCTTTTGGCTTTTGGCTTTTTGGCTGTTTGGCTTTTGGCTTTTTGACTTTTCGGCTTGGCCTTTGTGGCTTTTGCGTTCCGCATCCTCAGCATCACAGCAGTAACACCCCAGCATCACCGCCTTTTTGGTTTTTTGGATTTTTGGTTGGTGGCTTCTTACCTCCAATGTTTCTGTAGATGGGGGGGGCTGCGCCCCGCAACCCCCCTGCTTCTTTGTAGGCAACGAGCCCCAATGCATCCAACGCCCACCCTAAACTCACGTTTTGGCCCAAAAGCACCCTAAGCCAACCCTAAACCACCACGAAACCCGCCCTAAACCACCACTAATACTAGAACCAACCTTAAAACCAAGCCCTAAAAGCCAACCCTCAAGAAACCTTAACGTAACCTTAAACCAGCAAGACTCCCTAAAGTAAACCCTAAACAAATCCACTCTAAACCAGCAAGAGACTATCCCCAAACCAACCCTAAACCCCAAACACCCTAAGCCAATCCCGAAACCACCACGAAACCCCACCCAGACCAACTCTAAGTCCGCACTAAGTTTGTCTTCTTCCGTATTGATGCTGGTTTAGGGAGGGTTTGCATTATACGATCCGCACTAAACCAGCACAAAGCCATTGCTAATAAGCCCACCTCAAACCACCCCCACTAAGCAAATCCTATAGCTCTCTAAAGCAACCCCAAAACCAATCCCTAACCCCCCGTACACCAGCACTAAACCCAAACTAAACCCACCCTTAACAAACCCAAAGCAAACACGACACCAACCGCCCCCTAACCCCCCCAAGCAAACCAAACCAACACTACACCATCCCACCTAAGCCTAAACCAACTCTAAGCTCACCCTAAACCAGCCCTAACCGCCTGCACCAACCCCAAGAAGCCTCCATAAACCAGCGCTAAACCATCCCAGAACCTAAAGCGCAGCCACCCCCAAACTTGCCCTAAACAAGCCTGGAACCCACCATGAACCAACCCTAGCCAACGTAAACCCACCCTAAACCCAGCCTAACAAATCCAACTCGTGATGCTGAGGATGTTGAAAAGGATGCTGCCGAGTTAAAACGATGCCGGGGATGTTGACAGCGCTGGTCGCACCTGCCAGTTTTAGGACAGAAAATCCACGAGGAAACAAATCCAAAACAAAACGGGAAACATCCCACAACCGATCGCCATTTTTACTGGGTTTCCGGAGGTTTGCTATGACGGATCCCGGGAAGGAATGGAAATGGAAGGTACCCCTGGAACGCTGCGCCGATGATTTGACATATACCACCCTAGCAGATGTTCTCGTGTTCCCGCTATTGCGCCAGGCATCAGCTGCCTGGCTGATCTGAGAGCAGGGTTCATAGCTAAGGCTTGCCCTGTTCGGATTTGACCCCCAAATGTTTGCAAGGGACGTATGTACATTGAACATGGGGCAGGTGCCCCAAACACCACCATGATAAACACTTTATCCCCCACTATGTACATTCCCCGTAGAAAATAAAGACCCTTTGTATCAGGGTTGTGGGATCAAGGGGTTTATCCGCACTTCTGTGATACAAGGGACTCCCCTCTCTAAATGGTGTAGTCTTTGAGGGACCTTTTTCTTGCACAGAAGTGGATTCCATGTCCCACAGCCCTTTGTATACTCGTGTTTTCCTTGGCACTATACCGGACCCTTCACGATGGTTCAGATCCAATCCCAGGTGTCCAGTCTGTGCGATGCCAGGTTCCTGGGCTTGGTGAGGTTTCGCGAGGTTGGCTCCCGGTTGCAACCGACCGTGTTTTTTTTTACACATATTTTATGCCCCGGTACCAACACACACACACACACACTTTGCTTGTGGTCCAACTCTGGGCTTGTTTTGGTGAGATATGGGCCTGTCTCAACATGAAAGGGAACGAGCCCCCTGGCTGGATATTGTTGAAGGAAAAGGAAGGAAGAAGCCAACCACTTGGCGCCCGAAATTTTGGGACACATCTTTTCTGATCCTCGTAAGGTGGGTAGCTCTAGGCTGGAAAAAAAACCCAAAATTCTAGGGGTTGCTTCCCCATGCTTTTCAACCATCGTTCTTTTCAAAAACCAGCTGTTTCCCCAGGGTTTTGGGTGCTTTTTAGAAAGAAGGATGCCTGGAAAGAATGGGGAAGGTACCCCTAGAAAAATCCGAAAAGCTCAGGTTATGGCGAGTACAAAAGCCAGTGCAAAGAGTTGGGCACGTCGCTGCAGCAGCTCGGGGAGCAGGCGGCTGCATGATCTTGTCGAGGATGATCGGCTGCTTTGAGCTCTTTTCGGTGCCGTTTGCTTCCATTCAGCGAACCCAAACACCCAAACAACCGCCCAAACACACACACACACACACACACACAAACAACCCAAACAAACAAACAAACAAATACAAGCATAAACAAACAAACACCCTGCCTGGGAGTCTCCCTGTTTTGAGAGCCCCAAATGTTCTGGAAGTGTTTTCCGTGTCGTATGTCTCCAGAAAAGTCAACAGGTGGACGTGTGCTTGCGGTTTCCCGATTCGAAGCCGCAAATAAATCACAGCGGGACCCGCTTCTTCACCCGAGTGAGGGGCCAGAGGTACGAGTTCCAAGTTGGATCCAAATCGACATTCGGCATTTCTCAAGCCGTTTATCGAACAACGAGAGTAATAAGCCCGATATGTTATATTGAATATAAGTGAAATTAGTATAATATGTCATTGTATTGGCCGAAACATAATCATTCCACCGAATACGATTATAATACAACAACTACTGTCCGGCAAGCTCTAGCCCAAGTTTGCCTTCCGAATTTTGGCATTTTCTCTGCTTGCTGACGTGATTGCAGGATGACAGCAACATGTACGTCTTGGTGGGTGCGTTCTTTCTGTGTGGCCTGGAGCTCAGAACAGACAAGGAGGGAATCTCATTTTGACCGAGCCAACCAGTTTATTGTGACCACTTTTGGGGCCAAAACCAGACCGCCGATGAATAATCGGATCGGTTCATGCGGGATCAACATTATGTTAAGTCCATGTTTCGCAGGCTTCGGCTGGCAAAAGCAGCGGTGCAGAAAGGATGCCCTGATCGATTTGGGCAGTGATTTTTTTTTCAAACCCGCCGAGGTGGTGTTGGCGATCGATTTGAGAGCTTCCTCCAGACTCAGCAGCTTCATTCCAACTTCAAAGGTTTCCTCACATCGGCCAGAGCCTGAGTAAAGTTTCTTACTGTCTAGGTCCCCCGGTAGTGCCCTTTTACCCTTTTTTGGGGGAGGCTTCCCCTACTAAAATAGACTACAGAAAAAAGCATACCCTTATTCTAACCTCTCTACTGGAGGACCTAGCTGTGGATGGTTGCGAAATCCTCTTAGGCACCACTTTAAAGCCATTGGAACCATGTTGGTTACAGGAGAATCGGGTCAGAACCCAGGGTTTCTGAACGGTGCCTAAGAGGATTTCGCAAGCATCCGTATGGATTCGAGAGGTCTGGGGCCTTCATCTAACTTCCCAAGTTCCTGGACTTTACCTGGAGTCTCCATGACCCTTAAAAAAAGAGGTCATTACCCAAAATAAAGGGGTCAGGAACCCATTTTGAAAGGGTCATTGAGACTCCAGGTACTACTTTTTGGGATCCACTCAGGTGATCATAGGTTAGTGAACCCCTCCTCCGTGTGTCCCCCCTCCGTGTCCCCCCCCTCAAATGTGATTTTGAGTGGCATAGGCCTTAGTAGGCCTTAGTAAGGCTTAGTAAGGCTCAATCATGTTTTTTGCTTCGAGTGCTAGCAAGGCTCAGCAGCTCTCAGTAAGACGTAGCCACCTCAAAATTGATCATGAGTGCTACTGAGTCTTGCTGAGTAGTTGGAAACGCAATGATTTCTATGTGTGCTGTCATTTTCTTAGCGGTCATTTGTTCTGCAACTGCGCCGCGCACTGAACACCCGGGGATTGAACATCAGCGGATGTAGACCTAGTAGCACTCAAAGGCACTCATAGCAATTAGCAAGCGCTCACTAGCGTTCAGAAAGCACTCAGTAGCAGACAAAAGGCACTCAGCAGCACTCAGCAGCACTCAGTAACACTCAGTAACACTCAGCAACACTCAGTAACACTCAGAAACAGTCGGTAACACTCAGTAGCACCCAATCACAACCTAAAACAGCACATTTTTGAAATCCCGGCTCAGCACTCACTAGCACTCAGTAGCACTCAGTAGCACTCAGTAACACTCAATCACAACCTAAAACAGCACATTTTTGGAATCCCGGCTCAGTATGCACACTCAGTAGCACTCAGTAGCACCTGCCAAGAACACAGCACATGGGCGATCCAGGCTCAGCAACTATTTAGTAGCACGCAATGACGCTTCGAGCCCCGGGCAAGCTTCAACAAATCCAGCTTCGCGATGCAAAATTGAAGCAACCCCCCCCCCCCCCACATGCCAAATCTCAGTAGTGCTCAGCAATACTCCGTGAGTCTTACTGAGATTTTGACATTTGGGAGGGGGGATACGGGGGGGGGGGGTTAACTAACCTATGAGGTGAGTCATCCATCCCTCCGAGAAAATTAAAAATTTGCAGCATGGTGGCAGCGTGCCTGTGTAAAGTGTTGCATATATCTTGGAGGGTTGCTGCCCTGCTCAGGGACACTGAGTGCTTTGTGTGGGCAAGTTGTGCTACGTCGCTGAGCTCAAGCGGGCATCATTTGTATAATACATATAATATTCATTTGGTATTCGGTGACCATCGGTTGGTTGAGGTACCTTTGCGGCCTCCGCGAAAGATTCGCGATGGAGTTGCGAAGGCAATTGTTGTTTTCGCGAAAGTTTTGCGTAACTGCATCTTGTAAATCAGGGACAGGTGAAAGCAGTGCATCTTTTCTGTTGAGCCTTCCTTCCATACATAGCTGATGAGCATCCTTTGCTGCTTTTGCGGCTTGCTCGTTGTTTGCTAAGCCTGGTCAAGCAGGGCTACAGCTTGATACCCTGCTTGGCTGGTTAGTGCTCCAAGTGTGTGTGTGTGTGTGTGTGTGTGCGCTGCCAGTCGGTGGCCCTGCGATCTGCAACGCGGGTGATTTTTCGCGAGAGTTGTGTGAAAGATCCACGAAAGCCCGCGCGAAAAGCGCAGGCTTCGAGTGCAAGGGGAGGGAGGTGCTACCTGAGCGCCGCGCTAGTTAGTGTAGAAACTTGGTACTGAAAAGTTGCGACTTCCAGTAGAGCTGCCTAAGTGCATTTCGTGTACTGACGTGGTACCGAACAGTTGCGACGTGCCAGCTGGAGCTGCAGAAGTGCATTTCGTGCACTACACTTGATGTTGTCGCGACTTTCCAGCCAGAGCTGCAGAAGTGTATTGTGCGCATTGAACTTGTACTGAAAAGTCGCGACTTCCTGACTTTGGCAGTTAAAAGTGCGCTGCGATGAATCCGCTCACGGTTCCCGAGCGTAGTTTTTGTTTCGCGAAACATTGCCGTTTTGAGACAGGATTTCAGAACAACCACCATTAATATGCATATAGATATATTTATATATATAAAGTTATGTGTGCTTCTGTGCATTTCTATGAAAGCTGTGTGAGTGTGCTTTGCGTTTTGCGCTTCGCGCCCTTGAGCCGCAACGCTGCTGCCAGCTCAGATTTTCTACTTGGACCTGTCCGGCTTGGAGCAGCCGAAAGGTAGCGTCTCGGCGAGACCCGGCGACCCGGGCCATTGTGGCGTGTCCTTTTTAGGGCTTCCCCCCTTTCTTCCCCAGAATTAGCTCCCCTGTTTGTTGTTTTTGCTTTTTTGGGGTCCCTCTGCTTTCCACTCACCAGGCAAAAAACGATGATTTGTTGCTGGGGCGGCGCCAAACTACTGGAATGAGGTCTGTTGGCACACAACCACAAAAGGTTCCAACACAAGGGTGTGTTTGTCTTTTTTGAGGGACTCCCCGAAATTCTAACGGCTGTCCTTCTGGCTTTCCCTTTGAGACCAACCAAGAAGCTTGGCTAGAGCTGGACACATGTTTGCGTCGAATTCCAGCCAGGTCAGGCAGAGAGAAGAAGCTCACGGCGTAAGCCCAGAGTGGTCTTATAAAAAAAAATATGGCTGTGCGTCAAAACCAATGGTACCATTTTGGGGTAGGTGCACCACCCATTTTAGTCTATTTTAGTGGGGATTGGGATGTTCACTGGGGGTACGGGATTTTGACCCATGGGCATATATAGCATTCTGAGATAGGCAAAAAGGTTTGGGCCACAGAATGTGGGTGGATTTCGGCCGAGGGAGCCGCACACAGAACCCAAAGCTTGCCAGAGAACGCGAGTCGCCAGGCGGGCACTATGGCGAGGTCCCAAACCCTGTGGTTCCCACCACCTTCCCCGCCTTGGTGGGGCGGAAGGTTGTGGTGCTGGGGCCGGACCACCTGAGAGTCTTGGCTTAGCAGTTCCTTAGATACGGTTACCCTGGTTGCCCTTGACGTAGCACGTGACAGGGGGTCCCTGTAAGGAATTTAATCTTTCAGGTATCCTCTAACAGGTGCCATAGCGGGTACGAAAGCTGACAGGAGGGTTTTTGAAGACTGCTTTCCTTGAAGAAGCCCCCCTGTCCACTTCTTCCAAGAAAGACCAAATGTCCTTCAATCCTGATGCATGAAAGTCAATGTCTCTGGATTCAGTTTGCGCCTGAAGGCCTTGCTTGCTTTCTCGACCAATGATTGCTGACAATTTCTTGGAGCGCTTACACCTGACAAAGCTGCAACTGGCTGTCCGTGGCCCATTTCGTGCCGTGCCTTTCCCGGCCTTCGATTCGATGCCCCAGGACGGCTCACGAAAACCCTGAACATCGCCAGCTTCTTGGATGCCTCCAACGCAGCCCGGGGCCTAGCATTGATCTTCACTTTCCCCCTGGAAGGTGCAGATATGTCAACCCACGTCGAAAGTCCTGTGGCTTTCTTGGCTGGCTTTGGTTTTGGCAAGTGCAAGCCAGCCAGACATGTTTTTTTTGTTGGCCTGCAAACAGAGGTGTGAGAGTTACATATAATTGTCTTGTGAATCGAAAAGGAAGCATACTTTGCTTCAAGCACTCTGGTGATGGAACCCTAAGGTCTCCATTTTTTCTGAGGAACAAGCAACATCATGAGCATGCCTCACCTGATTAATGTAGAGCACTGATGCAGCATCTTTGCAAGTGGCCCTCAAACGCGTGCGGTGACCTCTCGGGGCCATGGTCAAAATACCCCTTTACTTGGGATTGAAAGTGATGGTGATGCACCTGGCAATTAGAAAGGGCCACTAATTATACTGATTCCTGTTAAACCATAGGTCAACAAGGCGTTTTGGTCATGGCACGCATGTGAATATTCATTGGTGACAAGTGAATCAGACATCTATGCGCACCATGTACGCGTTTACTTGCCTCAACCCGCATCTACATCTATGCACATTGTTTTAGAGATCATCACCTCATGCATTTGCAACATGGTGCCTTCAATGAGGTCTTGTGATCATGGGACTCTTTGGTTGAATTATGGCGACCCAGAGCGGTTCTTGGACCTTTCCTTTCGGTCCAAGCTTTGCACAAGGCTTGGTGAGGTCTTGCTCCTGGGGGCAATGTTTTGGGGTGGCGCTGCTGAACGATGCAATACAGCAACCAGCCGGGTAAGCTGCCAGGCGATTGATCTACGTTTCTAGAAGGGACGAAAGACAAAGCCCAAACTATTTGTACTCCAATTCTGAGGAAAACTTACCTCTTAAAAATACAACTTTTCAACTTTTTGGGGGTAACATGGGCTATATGTCTGTAAAGATTAACTTCCCCAGGGCTTGGAGTTTTAAGGGGTAAGAAAAGCAACAACACCCCCAGAAGCCAGGAAGACAATTGGATTGAAGAATTCGTCTTGGCTCTTGTGAGCTGCACCCTATGTTGTTGAGAAGCTGTGCGAGGCAATTTGTGCTAAACCGAGGTTCTGGAGTGGGAAACCTAGAGGCTCCGAACCGATCGGTCGATACCAAACCGATATTCATGCCTGACAAATCCAACCAACTGCCCAATCGCATGCCGTGTCTTTGGTTTGTTATCTTCACCCCAACTCATCGAGTTCTTCCTCCTGATGACCAAACCTGCTTTTGAAACACGCGAAGCAAGCTCTTTTCCTATACGCACGTCAGCGACTTCTAGTGCACTCAACAACTCGTAGCCTCAAAACATGGTAAACCTAGGCTCCGACACTTGCCTGAGTTGGGCCATGACTTGCTCGAGGCGGATCGAGTGGATGAGCTGGTGACCAAGATGAAGGCAGAAAGTGCCAAGTGGCCCAAGGAGAATGTTGTGTCCGGCCCCAAGTTGCCGTGAGAAGCTTTGAATGTGCGCAATGCACAAAGCAGGTAAGGACTCAAATCCAGCTTCTCGGCTAGCCTGCAAGAGTGGCGCACCCATTTCTGATTGAAGATCCGCTGAAACGGTCAGTGGTCAGCATTTGTTATGGGCAGACAATGTTCGTGCACACCCTCAGCGTCACGAGCAATGGTGCTAAATGACCTTACAGTTCACGCGGCTTCCCTGCAGGTGCAAATCTTTTAGATTTGGCTGTGGCTCAAATAAATGTACCAAAATGACACCTTGGTAAATGGAACCAAAGACTAAAACCGCGCAACCCTAGCGGGTTGATTTTTGAGCCACAGCCATTTGCTTCTTTCTCCAGATTGGGATGAAGTTGTGTTTTGGGCGCCACAGGAGGCATTCGGGGCATGCGCCTTGGTGGCTCGCTTGCCCAGGTTTTTAATCTCCGGCGGCTTCGGTGGCAGGCCAGGCTTTGAGATGGCCGAGGGGAGAAAAAGGGGGTTGATCAATAAGCCCTTCGGCCCCCAGTTTTGAGCATGGGTGAATCGTCCCATGTGGACCAAGTATCACTTTTGCGGTTTCCCCGACTTTTGATCAAGCCACATTTCCCAATGAAAGAAGCGGAGCCAGTTACGGTGGCAACACCCTCTTGCTGATCGTTTCGGCTTGCCCGCTCAGCTGCAAAGAGGGTTTGGAACTGGACACTCGGATCTGAACCTGTGGTATGTCTAAACAGGGGACTCTCAATATAAATGCTACCCCTGAATCAACCCCCAGTTTATTAACAGGGGGGTGCCTTCGAACAATTCTTTAGATGGCTCTGGGGTTACGACCATTTTCATACCGGGTTTGGATTATGACTCACATGGAGGCCTTGCATTTCAAGAGTTGCTCCCTTGACTCTGGACTGGCCCGCGAAACGAGGCTGCCTCAGGCTTCCCGGTTTTGATTGTGACTCACCTGCTGTTTCTTCGATTCCAGCCACGGCGAGGCTGGCAGTGCTGCGCGCCTTCAAGGCGGGACTGACTGCTTGGGCTGGCTGGTTTGGTCTTTTCTTTGGCCCAGGTCAGTGGCACCCCTCGGTTTCTGTGGGTCTGTGTGTGATTTGTTGAGGGTAGGCTTTCTAGGTCCCCCAGCAATTGGTGCCCTTCTACCAAGTCTTTTTGGGGGTTTGGGTTCCCCTACTAAACTAGACCACAGAAAAAGGAAACGGTGCCCTTATTTCTAACCTCTCTGGAGGACCTAGCTTACTGAGCCCCCATTTCGGGGGTCCCTTAGATTTTGGTCACTAGGCAGCTGGCAGTGAGACTTCCCTGTGATGTTGAGTGGAAACGATTCGTAGACCACCCGCTGCTGTAAGGCTCGTGGGCTCATCCAAAGATGGGTCTTCCCAAGCTTGACCACACATTGTAGAACCACGGACGGCCATGAGGGACAGTGGTACGTGTCCAAGATATTGGCCAAGATTGAAGGTTTGTTGTGATGCCACCATACTGCAATCCTCACTACCGGACTTCAAGGGTGACCCCTGCGAAACTTATAGTTTCGTTTCACCCAAGGCTTGAAAAGTCAGAACTATAGGAACTCCCCTCCAGGGGATATGGGCGCTGCCCCACCCTCCTTCAGGAGCTTGGCCAAGACGAACAAGAACAAAAAAACAAGAACACCAAAAACAGGGAGACACCTCCCAACACAAATCCACACTTCTTTTTTCTCGGGGGTCGGGGGGGGGGGGGGAACTCCCAAAATAAATCCGCACCTTTCTTCTTTTTTTGTTGGGGGGGGAAGGGGGCACCCTCCTTTGGGGGGGGAAACCGGACTTCAGGAGCTTGGCAAGCCACCCCTCCAGGGGATATGGGCGCTCCCGCCTTCTGCTTCAGGAGCTTGGCCAGAAGGATAGCTTCATCGACACGGGCGCCTCCTTGGACGGCTTCGCCGGCGTGGCGAGCCGCGACTTCAACGGCGCCCGAGCCGAAGACCCCGACGGGGCGCGAGTCTCCCCCTCGAAAATTCGTCCAACAAAAATGATGGGCTACTGATTTAGGCTAGCATCTTAAATGAATAGTAAAGCCGCTGGGATACAATGTGAAATTGAAGATGTCTTGTTTTGACAGAGTTGGGCCAAAAAGAGTTCGTCCAAAAGGGGCGGTGCCCCATGTCACTCCCAAAAAATGGGGGGGCGTACCACCACACAAAAGGGGGGGGGGGGGGTACCGCATGATCTGGGAACTTCGTCCCACAAAAGGGGCGGTACCCCAGGTCCATAGGCAAATAGATGGGTTCCGCTGGTTTAGATGGGTTTTGAACTTCATTTACCAGGGCCATCTATTTTTTTCCAAAAGGCCACCCATGCCAAAAACGGGGGCGTACCGCCACAAACAAAAAGAGGGGGTACCACATGATCTGGGCTAGAATGAGAGAAAGGTTTAGTAGAGCCGATGGGATACAATGTGAAGCTCATCATTAACATGTGGACCATTTGACGATGTTTTTTTAGACAGAGTTGGGCCAAGAAAAGTCAAATGCCTCGGACATCAGGATGTTTATTTGTTTCGTGTGTTGTGTGTGTGTGTGTGCATGAAAAATGTGTCCAAGGCCAGGAAGGGACAAGTGGGTTTGCCTCCAATGGAGACTCAACTGGAGCATCCCCTTGATTGAGAAGGGGTTCAACAGATATTGTTTCGGTTTCCCTTTGGACCAACCTGGAAAGGGTACCAACTCCAAAAACGCATCCATTGGATTCACATGCTTCCGAGAGGTGGCCACCCCGCGCAGGCAAGGCGTCAGCAAATGCAGCGTCAACTCACCAGGTGATGTCAAGAAAGGTCTTACGGAGGGTTCCAACTTATTTTCCGGTGTTGGAACAGTAATTTGCCTAGGCACATGGGCCGCATATGGGTTGTTACGCCCACAGCTCAGGAGACCATTCGTATGAGTCGGCAGACATTTTTTTTGCTTACATTCGCTCAATGAATTTATCAAACTTTCTACGGACTTGGCGTTTTGAAAGATATGGACCATTGGCTGGGACGCACCCATTTGCAACCATGTCCATTGCATTCTCCTCGAGTTCGATATTGGGATTCTAGGATTTCCAAATGATTTGGAGGGGAGCAGAGGTCAGCGCCGGTAGCATGAAGAAGACTCATGGTTCTTTTCAACAAAGCAAACACAACAGCAGCCAAACTGGAGCTTGACAAGGATATGTATGAGCTTGAGCGGTTAACCTTTTGCCTTGGGCCCGATGCACATATCCAAGTTTGCAGCACACGCCTCATTGCGTGATGCCCTTGCTGGACTTTCCTCTCGTTGCGAAGACCATTCTAGTGGCAGTCAAAAGGTTTGGTTGCATTTTTGACCAATTCACTCCTATGGGAACTGACCTGCATGGAAGGCCGGAGTGGTAAAGCAGTTGTTGGTCATACTCCACTGGCTGCGCGCTGAGATAAAGCACGCCTCTGCGGGATCTTGCCGGAGTACATGGCGCCGGGCCTTTGCAACTGCCATGGCAACCAGTGTGTGGCGGCGTGAGGGTGCCCAGCTAGGTAGTTGTTCAGAGAATACATGCTGGTGCGATAGGCAGGGAATGAAAAATGGAGCTTCCCTTGTGGTTTCCTTTAAGGGGACACAATCCCTACTGAGCACCAGCAAGAAAGGCCGGAGAAGAAGCCAAGAGGCGAACGGCCCCAGCCTTCTTCCAGAAAGTATCCGAGAGCCGATGATGCAATGCGGTATGCATCATGCGCGCTCCACGTCCTCTAGATCAACCTCGTCCTCGAAGGGGAAAGCGAGACACGCATGCGCGATGGCTGGACACAAATGCAAGAGCCTGCAGACTTATGGTTTTGAGAAGGGGGGCGGGGTTGCAAGTCACGCGCGTTGCATTCTCCAAGGCTCCCTCTCGCATCAATTGCCAGAACGGGGCCCAAAATGCGCAATCCTGGTCTTTGGTTGGATATGGGCATCTCAACGTCTCCGCTTGCGCCCCTCGTCTACTTTCAGCTAACGGTATGCAAAATGGGCCAAGAGCATTGGCTTGCAGATGGAGTTGGAGCAACGAGCAAGTCCCTTAGCATGATACCTAACACTATTGACACGTGTCGCATCGGTGTCTGATTCATGTTTGGTGTGTTGCCTCCTTGCCACAGGGAAACCTGTCACGAACCCTGGCGCAAGAGAACCCTGGCGCGTGTTGAGGCCCTGTGCTGTTGATTCCATGGCAATTTGTACCATGCTCATGTTTTTTCCTGCCAAAAAACAATTCTCGCGCGGTGGAAATAAACGCCCTTACTCAAGGGTCTAAACATTGAAACTCCTTTAGGATAAAGCATGAGGGAAGAGAGGGCACTCAGACATGAATAGAAATGAGTGAACATGGAACCGGACGTTTCGGTGGGTCCTGGCTTGGACCACTTTCTTTTTCATGGGACCCCCAAGCCTTAGGTTCCATGTTAATTGGTGGGAGGGTATTGCTCAAAGGAATCATCTTTGCAAACAAAAACAAACAAGAAGCCAACAAAAGGCGATGCAAAAGAAAAGAAGAAACAAAAACAGACAAAAGGCGCTTTACAGCAGAAAAGAACAGCAATAGGCGCAAGGCCAGCATGGCTCCGGACTCCACATGCTCTCCGCCCAATTTGAGCGGGCCTAGGACCGCGGCCCGCTCCGGAGGCCACGCCTGGGGCGTGAGATGCGAACCGGATGGCTGGAAAGGCACCTGGTGGTTCCCAGCCATCCGGTTCCTTAGCTTTTTGGGTTTTGAGGGTTTTGGGATCCGGTGACTCAGATTTTTTAGGTTTTGAGGGTTTTGGGATCCGGTGACTCAGATTTTTTAGGTTTTGAGGGTTTTGGGATCCGGACTCAGATTTTTTGGGTTTTGAGGGTTTTGGGATCCGGTGACTCAGATTTTTTGGGTTTTGAGGGTCTTCATTTAACTCACTAAAGGATACACTTTTAGCAGGGGATCTGAGCCCAGAAATACACTCAGCACAAAGCGAATCGACCCTTATAACCATCCCTTGTGGTGACTTTCAGCGGTCCGAACATATTTGTGACTATGCCTCAGTCAGTTGCCCGAAGCCGACCTTGGGTTTTGCCTCTTTGGTTCACTTTTGGTAAAGGTCCCAGAAGGTTAACCTTTTGGTTTCCAGGCCCTGTGGGCGAGTGAGTACGAGCACTCACTTTGCGTCGAACTTTGGTCGACGAAACTGGGGACAGTTGGAAGTCTAAAGGGGCCGTGAGTGCTGAAGCGAACTCAGATCTGGCAGGTCAGATCCAGCTGGCTGAAACACGGCTTCGAATCACCGAGGAATGTCAGCTTTAGCCTGGAAGTGCGCGCACAGCCTTCGGGTTAACCATGGATTCCAAACAGTCGAGTGTGAGACATAGTGAGAGCCTGCACGCCACTTGCAAAAAAACCATGGCGAGCTTACCATAGAGAGGGAAATACTTGTCTTGAAAGCGCATGGGTAATGGCCATAATTCTCTTGGTGTTTCTGGGGACTGTAGAAATTGATGGACAAGACCATAGACAATGGGCCAAACGCCCATGCAAGGGGCATTCAATGCAGCATGAATGGGGGATAATGGATTGGAAGCCAAAGCAATGTGATCGTAAGGTGCCATTGTTTCGAGCCACATGCAATTTGAGTGAAGGCAAGCTTGGGTAGACTCAGTTGACGGCGTGGGGACGTTTGTGGCAGAAGTTTGAGCCCAGAATTCCTGGCGCTGCCTCAGGCCACCTCTATGCTAGCTTGCAAGGCACCCAGCCTTGGCGTGGAATGAATTGAATGGCCAGTATCGGAAGGGAGTGTCATTTTTGTACACGCTCGATGTTACAGAAATATGATGAAATATGTCTCACCTTCCTCACTTCATGGACTTTAAAAACCGTTTGGCAAGACCATTTTGGTAGTAAACAAGAGTTCTTGCACTTTTTTTTGCCAATGCACTCAATCGTTCCCACCGTCTGAGGCTTGGACACCGGCGCCCCTGCAGCCGCGGCGGTGAGCGCATGCCCCGGAAGCTGAGCCGAGGTGTTTGCGCTGACCTATCAGTCACTCCTTCCAGTTAAGAATATGTTTTATTTATTTGTTGTTTTCCCTTGTTGGTTTTAAAATGAATTTTTCACTACCGGAAATATGTGTTTTTTCTTCAGGGGTATCAACCAAATGGAAGACTCCCCTTGCACATTTGTCCGTTGTCCCTGACTTTCAGTGCTTTGTAGGAAACTGTCAATGCTCAGTGTCACACACAATAAACATCACACGACATAGGACACACATACACACGCACACAAACAAACCAACAAACTTGGGACGGGGTCAAATTATCATGAATAATGAATCATATTTAAGTGAACTTCCATCTTTACAGGATTTCTGGCAGGTTGAAAACACAGGATAGGGAAAACATGTTACCCTGCGCGATACCCCTGCAGACAACAACCACTTAGACAACGAAGGGGGGACACAAAAAAAACACGTGCATGCAATGCGTGGCATAGTAGTGAGTAGTGAGTATGGATCACAACATGCACAACCGAAAACACGGATACAGAGACACACACACATACACATACTCATTCGCATATATAGATACATATAAATACACAGAAGCACACACACAGAAACACACACACACACACATACAGAAGCACACACACACACACACACACACGCACGCACGCACGCATGCACGCTCGACACACACACACGACACACACACGACACACACACGACACACACACGACACACACACACACACACGACACACACACACACACGACACACACACACGGCACACACACGACACACACACACACACACACGACACACACACGACACGCACACACACGACACACACGACACACACACGACACACACACACACACACACACGACACACACACACACACGACACACACACACACACACGACACACACACACACACACACGACACACACACACACACACACGACACACACACACACACGACACACACACACACACGACACACACACGACACAACACGCACACAAACAACACATCGGCATACAAGCATAATATACACACACAAACACAAACACTGAACCACAAGTACCAACAGTGCCCAAAGACAACACACGCACACTTGCTCTTTTAATGCTCTTGCTTACACGTGGGCACAAACAAGTCGTCGGATATCACATGGCGAGTTTGATGAGAGTGAGACGTAGGGTCCCCACCACCTGTTTCCTGATGGTCCTTGGTTTCTACAAGACTTGGCAGTGATTGTATTCTTAAGCATTATCGTGCTCATGTCTTCGCAAATTCGCGAATTGCTGCGACCTCCTCCTAGCAGAGGAATGTATTTCAGGTTGCTGTTTTTTTATGCGATAATTTGGATGTTCTGCCGTCTGTATGTCATTCGCCTGCTGCCTCACTCGAGGTGCAAATGCTGCCCGCACCCACCGCTCTCAGGCAAGCAGCGATGTTATTTCATGGAGCTGACAACAGGTATGTGTCAAAATTTCGGGGACCGCTTGCGCTTGATTCAAGTCAGCCCGTTTCTTCAAGAAAAGAACAAACAAGTCCTCAGTGCTTCAGTGGAAGACCAGTTTGGCATTGTTGACGTTTTACAGGCAGCAGAAGCCACCGCATTTGGCCGCCACCATCGGATGTCGTCCCCCTGCGCCCGAAGAGCAAGTAAGCCAGGAAGCGACCAACGGGCCGCCTCTGGGGTGGCTATTCAGAAGTCGGTGACTTTCCCTCCGACAATCATAGAAGTGGACAGGGAGGGTATGATTGGAGGGAGGGTATCAGTTGTTTATTTGAACAAAAGCACTGGCTCTAGACTCCATGCGGCACTCCATGTGGGTGTGGCTCAAGGAGGGGTTACGCAGGTTTTGGCCCACTGCAACCCATTTTGGTACCGGTTTTTGAGCGGCCACAGCCATGTATTCGCAGCGGATTGCTACCTGGCAGGCGCCAGAGCCTCTGTTGGGAGCCCGGAAGAACGCTCAGGGCCTGAAGCCAATGCTAGGTGCCATGGCGAGTCTTGGTGTTAGGGCTGGAAGGTGTGTTGGGTGATGTTGGGGTGTTCTCGTTTTCTGGTCTTGTGTGTTTCTATGCAAGTATAGGTGTTGTTTGTCTGAATTCGCGGATGTTGCTCACAATGACCAACACAATGCGCAGAACATCCAACTGGCATGGCCAGCGGCCAGCTGGCGCGGGTTCCCCATTCCTCACCCCAGTAAGCGGTTTTTTTTCTTGGTGCGTCCTTTTTGGGGGGCACCCCCTTCGTTGTATTTTTTGACTCTTGACGGGACACCGAAACGAACCACGCCATTTTGAGGGGTCTCCTAAAAGAAGACACGCTCTCTGTGGCATCTCGTCTCGCCTTCGTGCAGCGGAGCTTGCCTTAAGGGCATCCACTCCATCTGTGGTGCGCAAGCAGGGGCTCCCAGATGTAGAAGGGGCCCTGGGTGCTGCGTGCTTCCACGGAAGTTAGCCTTAGAGTGGTGGAAAGAAGTTCAATGGGGTGTTTTTTTGTGTTGGGCTTCCTTTGAAACACCAGCAAGAAACAAAAGGAAATGAATAGCCAAGCCAGCAGACGCTTGAAGACGGTCCTTCTACGACCGCTTGCTGTCAGAGATGCTTGCAGCCAAACTGAAGCAGAGAACAGACCTGTATCCAATGCTGGTTGGTCCGTTTGTCGAGGTTCCAATGTTTAGTCTCAACCGCGTCCGTAGGTTTTTGGGGGGAGAAGGGGGGGGAGTGGTTGAGAGTGTCCCGAGGCACGGCTCTTCTTCGAGCGTCTTCGATTTGGGCAGCGGCCTCAGATGGCGAGGCTTCAGGGTTTGGCAGGGGGGGTTAACTTCTTCTCACTTCCTGAGTTGATGGACTTTAAATTTTTGGAAAGACCATTTTAGTGGTAAATAAAAAGTTCTGACTTTTTTTGGCCAGTCAACTTGGGAAGTGAGTCTTTGCATGGATTGCATCTGGTGTGGGGGCTCAGAGGAGCCAGTTGTCTTGAGATTGATTTTCGCAGCCACAGTCGGCTTTCCATGCTTCTTGTAAATGCAGATGGCCCTCTTGATGTTCCCACGCTGCATCCATTAATGGTTTATTCCATTTCTGTTGGCAATTAAACTCCACGATCGGCATCACAGGCTTGCATCATTTGGCAAGCGTGCTGCAGGATACCCCTGCAAAGAAGACGACTCTGGGCGACTGTTGTTTGGCTGCCGGTTGCGAGGCTGGCTGATTTGGAAAGAGCGCCGTCTCGCAGCCCAAAGAAGCAGCTCCTTGGAGGGTCACCTTCGCGCTGAGGCTCCTCATTGCTGGGACCCACAGAAGTGGTCTTGGCCTCGGGCCAGCGGAATCGGACAAGCAGTATTCATGTGACCTGCCAGGTTGCCTGAAAGAGTTCCTTTCAGAAAGCTGGGTAAGCTGTTCGTTTTGCCCTCATGCGCTGGCCGTTGGGCTGAGATGGCATTGCCCAGCTTCCTTTACTCATGCTTTGGCCCGGATGTTTCGTTCGGGCTTTCCAGGTTTTCCGCAGGAAACCTGGCCATGGGTCAACATCCAAATCGTACCCCCAGTGAACATCGATTCAATCCAACCACTAAAACAGGTTCTAAAATGGATGGTGAATTCACCTATCCCAAAATGGAATCCTAAAACGGTTTTGACAACCACAGCCTGGACACTTTTGGGCTCCCGCCGCTCCCGCGGCTCCCGGTTAGGCGGTGCTACTGCAGAGCGGGCTGGCTGCTGTGCCTCAAGGGCGACAGGTGCTGGCCTCAATGGGCATGGAGCCGGTGGTGGCGAGACATGGCTATGGGTCAAAACCGTTTTGGGATCCCATTTTGGGATAGGTGCACCACCCATGTTAGTCTATTTTAATTGGGATTGGGATGTTCACTGGGGGTACGGGGTTCAACACAAATGAAATGAATATCAAGGTCCCCCAGTGCCCTTCTCTCCCGTTTCTTTTTTGGGGGAGGGTTCCGCTACACTACAGAAAAAAAGGGTACCCTTATTCTAACCTCTCCACTGGAGGACCTAGATATTTGTTTATGTCCCCCTGGTTTCAAAGGGAATCTATCACTGCAAGATATAGTGTTATTCTTTCCATTGGACTTCAGCAAACCTTTGGAGCCAGGCCTGTCTTCCCAAACCTAGGGCTCTTTGCCGTCCTCATACGCGTTTGGGAGCAAGCTTGGTAACTTGCGAGCGACAATGCTGGCTCCAGTTGGGGCGTGTGATCTCGACAAGCCGCCCGCAACATGGTAGTGACCCATGAAGTCTCACCAACCAAGCATGAACGCCTTGTTTTGGGAATCGCCGCTGGGCAATTGAGTTGGTTACCATCCTTCAACTAGTTCTGTTTTTCTCGCCCTCTTCAAGCACAGTGCCAAAAGCACCAGAGAACTGGTCCAAGCTGACACTACTTTTCAGCTCTTTCTTGACATGTTTTTGCGAGAAACAATGATTCAAGGGAATGTTTCATGCACAGACATGATGCTTGACCTTCTTTGCACCATACAGAATGACAGACACGTGTTTGCTCCACGCCTTTCAGCTGTTTGTGTCCAAAGCAATCTCCACGTCAGAAGCTTGTTTGGGGGTTGTTCCGCCTTCTCTCGACTGGCGAGCTGCAAAAAGGCGCGGACTGCATGAGGGGGGGGTGACTCGTCAAGACCAAATGCAGCGTCAAGATGCGACGGCGCGCGTGTCGACGTATCGCGCGTGAAATGCTGGCGTCCTCAAGGTGGAAGGCCGATTTGGGAACGCACTGTGGCCGCATTTGGTGAATGGTTAGTTATTGTCATTTCGCACGCATGCGTGAAGAAAAATAAACCATTGCGTAGCTCGCATCTTCAAAGCTTTTGGCAATTTGACCGCAACGGCTGGCAACGGCTGATTCATTTCCATCGCGGCCGCACTGCAACCCTGTTCCGCAGCAAGCAGACAGTAAACCAGACCACACCTTACATGTAAGTTCAGTTTCAATGGATGACGTCACTTGCACCCAGCACCGCCAGAGAGTGTTTCATGAAATGCTGCTCATTCCTACCTGTCGCTCAGAGCTCGGGAGCTGCGCATCGAACACTAATGAGCTTGTTTGTGCCAAGTGCCGGCCTTCCTTGCGACGCCCGACACTCGCATCGCCCTGTTGCCGACCACCTGCAGGCTCCTGCAAGCGAGATGCACAAGGCTACAGGGATGCAGCTTTGCGGTTCCTGGCCTTCTGGCCATTTCTGGCCAAGAGGACGTGACCGCTCTGGTCCGGGCTCGCAGACGCTTTGCCTCCGCAGAGTTGCCTCTCAGCCCCGCAAGCGAGCGCCTTGTCCAACACCATGCCGGCTGCATCCCGCCCACGCGCAGCGCATAGAATCCATGGAGTAAACGCATGTAAACGCCATTGCTCCGCATGTCTCAGCTGATGTTGCGCTGTTCCCGCAACGACTCTAACAGAATCAGCTTCCTCAATCTTTTGTTTCCCGTGGAGGCTCTGGAGGATTATATGGCTTCCTTAAAACACCTTCGAACTTCTCAAACATCACCTCCAGGAGCGCCAGAATCGTGTTTACGACGCCGGCGGCCCAAGCACTCGCGACCGTTTTGCAGCGATTGCAGCTAGCTTGTTGCAAAACCTGGTGCCCAAAAACAGCACAGACATCGCTAAACGAGCAGAAAGCATCACACTCAGCACAGCACAGCCTATTTCCGCACTAAGCGCCCACCCTTGAAGTACCACGAAGTACCTGTGGGCTTTAACAAGGCCAGGTTTCCACAAGCAACGCTTATTGACAGCTGTTGTGACATCGTGGAGCCAGCCCTCTTTGGCATAGGCTGCAACCATGCTATGGCGTGCTACCGGCTAATGATTTTTGCACATGCTTGCCTAGTTGAGATATGCTTCATCAGGGCTACAGTTAGTTTGGACGGGCGCAAGTTGTGACAAACTCCTGCCTGCTTGAAGACTGTCTTCCCACAGGGCTTCAGCCACTGCTGTTTAGTCCACACTTGCCACCATTGCTTCCGCCGCAGCGGCTGCAGCCGGCGAGTTTGTAATTCGGCGCACCGCTGGAGTTTCGCGGGCCTGCCCCGCTTGCAGCCAACACCGTGCTAGAGCAGGCCACTGCTTAGGCAGCGCTTTCCGGATTTCTTCGCTTTTGGTTCTTTTCATCAGGGCGTCGCGACCAAGAAGCTTGGCCGGGCACGATTTGCATCGCCTGTGGGCTGCGGCGCTCTAGATGCACTTCAGTGAATGCTCCACGTCCACCTTCGCAAAAGCAGCTGTGCCAATTCTGGGTGCGGCGCAACTGTTGCGGTGCGGGTTTGCGGTTCAATTCTCGACTGTTCGCGCGCATGACTTTGCTTGTCAACGTTGTGTTTGGCCGCGTTGCTCGAGCCTTTGGGCGCGTTTCTGGGAGCTCAGGCTTATTCTTCCGCGTTCCAGGCAGGAGCCTTTGACACAACCTCCTGCCAGACCAAGCTTCCGTATTTTCTCTGCGGCGACTTCCGGGCTCGGATCAATGCCCAGCTGATTGGGCCGGCGCCCGGCGCTGGCACCTGAAAACTTAGACATGCCAAGGCGCCCCAACGACGTGGTTTTGGAGGCCCGCCCCGGCCTGCCGGTGCTTCATGACTGACAGGCTCCAAACCGTTTTTTCCCGCGAGTCCACTGTCGGAGTTCCGCCTGCAATGAGCTGCTCCCTGGCAACCGCATTGGCCCTTCGGACGGCGCTCCGCCTGCGAACCTTGCCGGTGATCAGGAGGTCTGCTGGCGCGCCCGCTGCTTGGCCAGGAGAGTGACTTGCAACTCTGCCACCCAGTGGCGCCCTGTTTGTTTTTTCCCCCTCAAACAGTTTACTGTGAGGGGTTTACGTTCATTTAAAGTGATTTGCCTATTGCCAAGCCTCAGCCTGGATGCCTGCCACGGCTTTTTTAGTGGACGGGTTCATTTGTCTCTTCTTGGTGGACTTTGTCTTCCATTGTCTCCAAGTCTGGATGTTTCCCAGGGCAAAGAAGCGGTGGGGGACACTTTCACAAAAAAAAGAAAAAAGAAAAAAAAAGTCAGCAGCCTTGCCTTGCTTGCTTGCCCCGCGCCTGGCAGCCATGTCCAGCCCAGCCGCTGCCGATGGGGAGTAGCCACGCAGGACGCGCTCACCGCGGTCACGCCCTGCCTGTTTGTTGAGGGAGACGTCACGCCGGGGCTCCCCTTTCCTCCCTGTTTTCATCCTGAGAATTGTTCTGCCTGCTTGGACCCTGTTCTTTCTGGTGGCATTGGCGCGGCTACTCCCTGTCACTGGCCCGTGCGCGGACACGGCTACCATGGCTTGTGTCCAGCGCGGTCCGCAGCACGCTGTTTGCCTAGGGTTGGCAACCCGGGTTTTTCGCGGAGCTCGAAGCCCTTTGCTGCCGGTTGGGCATCGACTGGCGCGCATTGCAGTTGCTGGACCCGGTCCCTGTCCAGCCCGCGCTGTCCCAACCAGCCCCCGCTTCCCCACCTCAACACAGGCTGCGTCGGCCGTCGCTTGCCTCCCTCCTGGCCGCCCCCCGCTTGGCATGAAGTTTTGGCCCGGGCCAAGCCTGTTCTTTGCTTGGAGAACTCCGATGGCCCCGCCCCCGCTTTCGTTGCGCGTTGGTCCACCCTGCTCGCGTTTGCCGCCCACCAGTCCTCCGCGGAGTCCCCCCTCCTCGGCCCTGACTTCTGGCCAGTCCAACTGTGACGGCGACGCCCCGCCGCTGAGCGAGCTCCTTGCGGAGGCCGCCGCTCCGTGCCCCTTGCCAGCCGCTTCCGCTTGAGCTTTGCGTGGTGCGGCCACAGCCCTTCTGCTTGCACTTTTGCAAGGGTTTTCAGCCCGTTTCAATATGCAGGCAAAACGGGTCCTAGTCGCATTCTGTGCGTCTCGGAAGTTCAAGTTGCCCGGGCTTAAAGCGCTGTTTCTGGCCTTGTAAGTGCGTTTCTGTTGCGGAGCTTTGTGGCTCGAAAAGCTTGATAAGTGCTTTTGAAGCGCAACGGTGATTCAGAGCAGAAGGTTGGGTTGGAATTCTCTTGGCCTCATTTGCTGCATGTGAGCCTTGGGTTGCGTCTCCGTCAATCCTGCGCCGGCAACAGTATTGCCCCGATGCAGCACGAGCAGCTCGGGCTTGGAACTGTTCTTGCCCGACCTCAGGCTCGTGATGGAGTCGGCCCCGCTGTCGAGCTCCCAGACAACGGTCAACACCACTGGGCGCCGGTCCAGTATACAAAACGGCATCTGGGGGACCGTCCCTGGGTCACCTGCACACATGGCATCCGACGGGTCGCCGAACCTGGGGGGCACGGCAACCCCGCTTAGCCCCAGCCCTGCTCACCGCTCACCGCTCGCACCTGGCGATGCCGTCGCCCTTTGGACCTCCATGTCGGACTTGCAGTTGACACCACCTTTGTCCCGCAGTTGGCCAGCCAGGGTCAGCCTCGCCGGAGGGGTGGCCGTGTTGCCGGCGCTGCCTTGGCCAACGCTCGCCTGCCAGATGCCGCCTGGCCGTGTTTGCCATTCGAAGGCGGCGCCGTCCCTTTCGTGCGCTCACTTGCGCGTGCTACTCTGCTCATCGCGCGCGGACCTGTCCGCGTTTGCGGCTTCCCTGCCGGGCATGCCGGTCGGGGCGTGGCGTTGCAATCTTGATGGTGCCTCTTTTTTGGCGTGCCCCGCCCGCTGAGCACCAAGACTCTTACCAAGACCCCCTGTGCCCAAGGCCCTAACCTGCAACGGAGGCAGGAAACTAGCGTATTGGGCCTTTTTGTGTTTGGGCAGCTTGGTACAAAAGGGGTTACAATGGAAAACGTATCAAAGCACATGTGGCTCAAACCCCTACTGATCTTCACAAGACAAAGCATGCATGAAATCTTAGCACCCCCCTTGAAGGCCGTGAAAACAAAACAGCTACAGCGCGCGGGGATACTTGCAACGCGCGAACGCTGCCACGCCGGCGCGTCGTTTACAAACGCGGTGGCATCATAGTCGTGGACACCCGTGCCGGCATCATCGGCTTGCAGGGGTGCACAGCCCGCAGTTTTTTGCTGGTCGTTTCGTTTTTGGTACTTGCCGAAGTCGATTTGACCTCGCACCGTTGCGCCTCAAGTGCCCCAGGCACGCTGTCTATGTAGGCCATTCCAAGTGACGGCAGAGCTTCCCGCACATCGCCGCCACTCTTGGGATGCTTGGTCAAGAAATTTCCTTGGTTTTCGGTGCCTTTCATTTTCCTGAGCGCGAGCTTCCCACATTGCACAGCTCCTTGCACGTAGTACTTGCACACCTCCAAGTGCCTCAGCTTGGCTCCAGGGCCGATCCCCTTGCCAGCTTGGATTCCAGATGAGCTGTCGCTCCACACCTTTGGCTTGGTGATTGGTAAACAAGAATCCAGCTCGGCAAGTTCATGCAAGAATCACGCTTCTCGGGCTGCTCTTGACACTCCTCGCAACTCAGCATTTGGACAGCTCGTTGCTGGCAGTCCCGGCTGGGTCTGCGTGGTGACTTGCACCACCGCCCCGCCAACCGTGAGTCTGTGGAGCGTCGGCTTTCAAGGCATCGCTGAACACATGGATGCTCAGCGGCCCTTGTTTCTGCGTGGGGACTAAGCTGAGATGCGACTGCAAGTAGGCAGCCCGTGTT